TCAAATTGGTCAGAAGAAGCATGCATTTAAATATTTTAGAGATGGGACACATAAACGGAAATGGCACTGGACAGGGAACCATACTATGTGATGTCAATTCTGATTATGAGGGTAGATTTCCTCTTGATCTTCAACAGGTATTTTATAGTTTTCAGACCACAGTTCTTATCCATGCAATAGAGTAGGATAGCAGTTCCGTTGTGTCTATTGCATAGATATAAGAGGTGCTATATATGGCCATACATCAAACTCCTAAAACAGTCTTCAGTACCACTAAGAGAGTAAGGATGTGTAAAACACCCAAAGCCTTAAGCAGAAGAGCATGTGATGCTGTATACCACAGTCATCAACAATACTGGATATCTTGCCATAACCATATTTGTAAGCAAGCAAAACTAATATTTTGAATCTCAGTTCTAAACTCATAGTTATGTACCTTTAGTAGCAAACATTTCATCTCCTTGCCAACATTCATTTATACAACTAGAAAAAGTATTTGTATTAAAATACAGCCTTCATATGTTTTTTGATTAATCTTTATTGTGCTCAACAGTGAATCACATTATTAAAGGAAATTTAGCAGATCAGAGCAGTGACCTTGATTTCATGATGTACAGAAGTCAAACAGACATTTTCATAAAATTAAGGTAGAAATATATTATAAATATGAAATGCTAAGTCCCTGGATATTAATTTGAACTTTACATTTTTGATAATAAAAGATCAACCGAAAATCAATAAATTAAACAACTTAATATTAAAAGCCCGGTTTTTTTCTCTTGATCAAATAGAGCTGATTACCTTGGAGAATAACTGAGGTATCGTCTCACTAGAATCTGTAATAACTACATTATAATGTTTTTCTTATGAAGAATAGTGAGTGTAGAGAACTCATCCACTGGGGAACAAAGAGCTGTGATTGCTTTTATTTACATCAATGAAGCCTTTGGAATCTGCTGTTCCCGAAACCCTGAGTCCCGTTCCCACGATGGACGTGGTTAGGTAGAGAACCAGCCCTTGCGGGCTGCCCTCTGTCTTCCGTGTGTGTGTTTTACTGTAGCACTTACAGCATCACATGCACACACACGTGTATACATATATACTAAACAAACAAACTAACAAAGATAATGTTTAAAATAAAATCATAACATTAGGAATGTAGTATAATAAAATTAGCCAGAATCCTAAAAGATCTCCATGTAAATAAACAAAAACATGCAAATGTAAGACGGTGTAAATCAATTTTATCATTGTTATTGATCACATTTTCTTTTTTAGGTCATATTAATTTTTAATTCATCTTGGTTAATCCAGTACAAATATAAATGCATTTGGTTACTAGTAAATGACAATTTTGTCAATTTTCAAGTGTCTGACTGTAGCTAATATGAAATCACCTTGTTTTATTTTTATTTTTTTTTCACAATTTATTCATTTTATATCCTATTGAACCAGTTGTATGTGTCATGGAAGCTCACTGTATTCCACAAGATGTGCTTTACATGATGAAGTAATGAAGGAAATATTAACCAAATTCTAATGTGTCTGAGTTTGAAACTCAGTAGACACTTGGTTGGTTGGGTCTATACACTTGGATAAGAATAAACATTGAAAATACACAATGTGTGTTCTTTCACTGAGTAAGTTCTTGTTAGGAAAAGGGTTTACAATATAAATTAGTATAATTAGGAAAAACAAAATGTTTCACCTGCTATGGTGTTGAGTGAAAACAATGGAACAGTTCCATTTTGCTTTACCTGCTTAGAGAAAAAAAAAATACCATCTAGAAAAGTGAAACAATCTGAATAAGACTAACATGCAGTCAAGCTACATTTTTGCCTCTTCTTTTCTCTGCAATACATCTGAAGAAACTATTCAATTTATCTGAATCTTATGAATAAAATCAGAATACAGAATGATGCCTAACCTCAAGCACACAAGGAAAGATGTCTCCCCTGTGAGTTCCTGTTCTTCACTCATCTTTACTTCCCTGACTCTGTGGTCTGTAAACCAAAAATATTTCTATGCACTTTAGAAAGAAAAAATACAAACATGCCTCTTTTAAAGAAAGATCTGAACCGTCTTATACAGCCAAGGTAGACTATAAATGTAGACATTTGTAAAGGGGAATTGCTAGAGCTTCCCCTGACATGAAGTTCAGACTTGGATGTTTACTGTATTATATTTTATTTTATTCTTATATGCATTCAGTTTTTACTTTATTTTTCTTATTTTTTTACAATTTGTTCATTTTATATCCTGATTGAAGCCCCCTCTCTCACCTCCTCCCAGTTCCTCCCTCTCTCCTTTCCCCTCAATATCCCTTTTCCCTAGCCCACTGAAAGGAGTCCTCCTCCCCTGCCATCTGAAAGACTATATTTTAAAAGGTTGCTCACAACCCTTTGATCACTAATATTTCTGAAAAAAATCTTTTTATAATATGAAAAATACATTCCTTATGATTTTCACATAGTTTTATTCTTTCTGAGGTATTCAGGCATTTGGGAGCCTAAATAAAGATATTTTATTGTCCTAATACCCCAAACTTTACAAACCTCGTTCCTCTCTAGCAGTCTTTGAGGCACATTCCAGTGTGCCAGATAACTCTGAAGGAGTGATGTGCATCATATACCTGCTGTGATCTTACTGGTACAGAATAATAATGTATGATACTGTTATTTTAAATGCATATTGCCTTTTTACTTCACACCATGTATGTCACTAAATATGCCAGATGCATATACTTTTACGATGTCATTTTATTCAATTTTTTATATATGTAATCATCAGCTAACAAATCCATATGTCTGTGTGGCTTTAAAAGGACTTGGTTACCAGAGCTGGGCTTCACAGATTTGAAAGCTGTTTACATCTAAAGAAAACAATTTAGCCTTTAATTTCTTCAGTGGCAATCATGACTTGAAGGTTTGTCTTAAATAGCAACCAAGCTAGGGTGATTAAAAACTTAAAGCAGGGCCTATTCTGTAGTAATGAGTGTTAGTGGATCTGATTATTAATGTTGCTGGTATCGGGTGCCCATAGAGCATAACTGGATAACTGAACAGAAATTATGTAACTCTGAGATAAATAGTGTTTGTGTGGAAACAGATGCCTATTTGTCCCAGAGAGGACATTGATGGCAAAATAATGGATAGATTTTACCCAAATCTAGCTTGATGAACAAATAAATTTGATGAATTTACTTACAAAACATAGTTTCTGCAAAGGCTGTTGCATCACTAAACCCAACCCAAACCTAGGTGAGGGTTCCTGAAAAATGTATTCTTGAGTATTTGTAGGCAGTAAATTGGAGATTATCTTCTCTAGTATTCGTATACTTCTTATATAACCTTGGAAAGAGGCCTTATGAGTCTTGTAGCTTTCTAGGTTTCCTGAATCTTGCATGTTGCATTTATTCACTGAGTCATATTAGCATCCCTATTCTTCCATGAGGAAACACTTCAATTCAAAGGGAATAGCTACATGACATATGCTAAATTTACAGGCAAATGGTGGGAACTAGAAAATATCATCCTGAGTGAGGTAACCTAGAAATAAAAAGACCCATATGGTATATACTCACTTATAAGTGGATATTAGCTATATAATATAAAAAAGTTAAACAACAAGGACAATCCTAGGAAAAATGCTTAATCCTCATTCATAAGGGCAAATAGGATACACATTGCAAGTAGGAGAAGACAAGGAACAGGACAGGACCCTTCCTCAGAGCACCTCTGAAAGACTAACTCTACCCACCAGGGTATCAAAAGAGATACTGAGACTCATAGCCAAACTTTGGGAAGAGTGTCAGAAACCTTATGAAAGAAAAGGAAGCTAGAAAGACCTGGAGGGGCAGGAACTCCACAAGGAGACAACTGAGTCAAAAACCTGGGCCCTCTGGAGAGGTCCTGCAGAGACCGATACTACAACCAAGAACCTTGCATGGAGAGGATCTGGACCCCTGGCTCAGAGGAAGCTCATAAGCTGCTCATTTTCCAAGTGGGTTCCCTAGTAAGGGGAGAAGAGACAGTCTCTGACATAAACTCAGTTGCCTGTTTCTTGATCACTTCTCCCTTGTGGGGCGACCTAGACAGCCCACAGAGGAGCAGGATGCAGCCAGCCTTGATGAGATCTGTTAGGCAAGGGTTGGATAGAAGGGAGGAGAACTCCCTATAATGGACTAGGGAAAGAGCATAGAGGGAGAAGTGGGAGGGTGGGTGAGACTGGGAGGAGATGAGGGAGAGGGCAGCAGTTGGGATACAAAGTGAATAAATTGTAATTAATTAATTAATTAATTACAATTTAATTAATTAATTAATTAAAAAAGAAAAGATAGCTTTCTGTTTTTAATAAGAGAATATTTGCAAGATTTAATTGATATCTATTATATATCCTACTAAAATCTTAATTTAAACTGATTTGTGTGAAATCCTTTAATCCAAAGCAATAAAGAAAAAAATACAAATACTCTTTCCAATAAATTTCTTAATATATAAAAATGCACCAACTGATCAATAGAAATGAGATATTGGGTTAATGTCTCTTAAAATACTACTCATTAAATCAAATGAAAGACAAAAACAAAGAAACAAAAGACAAAATGTACCTAGCTCTGCGTGTTCATATACTTCCGCGATCTCAGACTCTGGGATCAGAAACGGGAATTGCTAGTTCAAAAGAAATTTCAGTGAGTTAAAGTGGCAAAATGAAAGAGAAAGGAGTGCTGAGCCAGAAGACTTGAGAGAGACAGAAGCTGGATTAATGACAAGAAGCCTGAATGGAGTAAGGGAGTGATGGAGGAGACCCTGGCAAGACAATCTGTCAGCCAGAAGAGATGCCTACAGCCACCTTTGCTTGCTTTGTACTTTGTTAGCATTTCCTCCTATACAGTTTATACCAGGGTGCGTTCCCTTTGCTGAGTACTTTGGTTATTTTAACATTAAAGATTTGGGCTGTTGAAAAGTTGAGTGGTGCCTCATAGTTAAAAATTCACACCGGGGCTCGCTTTGGCAGCACATTTACTAAAATTGGGACAATAAGAGAAGATTAGCATGGCCCCTGCGCAACGGTGACATGCAAATTCATGGAGCGTTCCATATTTTTTAGGCTAGGGTAACATAGAAAGGGAGGAAGACCTCCCGTATCAGTGGACTGGGGGGGGATAGGGGAAGAAGAGGGAGGGAGGGTATGATTGTGAGGAGACGAGGGAGGGGCCATAGCCGGGATACAAATTGAATAAATTGTAATAAATGATAATAATAAAAATATATAACGTAAAAAGTTCACACCAATTGGTTATCTAATACCAAATGATCAGCCCAAAAAGATATACATTCAAGTAACATTATATGGACTGAATGTTGTATTTCTGCATTTAGGAATATATAGAAATATAGATATATAGAGATATATATTTTTGTGTATGTATACACATGTATATATGTGTACTCCTAAATATATATTCCTAAATGCAGAAATATAACCATTCTCTCTCTCTCTCTCTCTAGAATATATATAAAAACATATATATGTTTGGCATTTAGGTGCACTTAGGGAAGGCAAACTGTTCAGTGTTCTGATGAAGGCAAAAAAAAGGACAAGAGAGAGTCAGAAAGGAAGGTAGGACAAGCTAAGGAAGGTTTGCAGGCACTGGGAAGAGGCACAGCGACACTGTGCTGCTGCTTAGAGCCAAGACCCGAGCTGTTTCCATGTGCATCTCCTAATCACGCTGCTGCCCACGTGAGCAGCATGCCTTACTCATATTAAAATCAGATCCACTTTTATTTTGTTCTCTTTATCTTAATTCACAACACGCTGATGGCTTACATGGAGCATCCTGCTATGAGAAACTTTGTGATGTGTTTCTTCTGGGGACTCTTGCTACTTTATAGTAGCCTGTCTGTGTATGCATGATTGACTTTTAGAGGCTTACATTTATCCTTAGAATCTTTGAAATTGTTCTTTTCAGTCTTCTTTTTAGCAATAATGTGTGCATGGATAAACATGTTCTCTATCTTCATCCACATGGTAGACTAGAAGGCAGAACAGTTCACTCCAGCCAATACAGACGACTGGCGGTTAGCGTAAGTACACTACATTACCAGAAAGGCCGACTTCCCAACACGTTTGCACCAACTTTCAACCTTAAGGTGACATACAAGTTTCAAAGCCTTGTCTCAGGTCCGATAGTATTCTCAGAAACTTCCAGCCTGCTGCAGTTTTCAAAAAGAAAATCAGAGATCAGCTACTAATGGCATTCATTTCTAAGAACTTCAAATGAGATTCCTGGTCATCTCCCGTATCAGTACCATGCTGGGGACTGGTATCTTATTAACAGCAACTACAGCTACACAGTCCAGAACCCTCTTGAATTCTTTTGTCTTTCTGACATGAAACTGAACCCTGGTGCTTCTTTTTGTTATTTTTCTGTTTCTTTGTCTTGTGTGTTTTTTTTTCCAAGACAGGGTTTCTCTGTGTAACCCTTATTATCCTGGAACTTGCCCTGTGGAGCAGCCTGGCCTGAATTCAGAGATCTATGTGTATCTGCTTCCCAAGTCCAAGATTAAAGACGTGCAGCACCATGCCCAGCTGCCCCTGGTGCTTGTTTTCTGTACTGAACATCTAATTAGAGAATCTTTATTTTTTTACTGGAGTTTACTATAAATTTTATATGATCTTAACTGATTTTACAGTTGTTAGAAATTTGAATCCTTGTTTTACTTCTGACCTTGATAAACATCTACCAGTTTATCTTTTTTCTAAACGTGTATTTTAAAAACAGAATTATTGTAGATCATTCTACACATTTATATTGTTTGTCTACCTATTATTTTATTTCTTCAGTTACAATTTTTGTGTTTATATTAAGGGAATAAACACATTTTAGAAATTTTGTGCATGTACTACCACAGTTATTCCTAGTGGTACACAGATTTACACAAGTTTTGTTTCTAGAAATCATGAGTCAGATCATTTAAATGCTACCTGTCATATTCTTCTGACTTTATTCCTTTAAGTAGTTTGAGGTGTACAGCAAAGTCAGGAAGTACAGCTTCTCATATGTCCCTGATCAATGCATGCAGCCTCCCTTTTATCTGTGTCCATATAAAAGTGACATACTTCCTAAAGCTGGTAAATCTACAGTGATACATCACTTCCCAAAGGTCACACTTTACATTAGGATACACTACTGTCTGATCAGATGACTGGAGAAAATGAGGCAAGGGGATGGCCTTGAATCTAAGGCCAGCCTGAACTACATAATGTACTCAAAGCTCAAATGCCCTACATAACAGGACCCTATCTTAAAACACACTTACATTCAAAAGAAAGAAAGGAAAGGAAGTTAAAGGAAAGAAAAGGTAAATGAAAAGAGAAAGGGATTAAAACGAGTCATTCTCAGTCCTATACATGTTGAGGTTGCGTAATGTCCTATGCGTAATTCAATTTATCCTCGATCATAGCATCATACGTAATGTTTCCAGTCTCCTACACACCTCAACGTTCCAGCTGTTTGCTCCTTACTTTTTATGTCCCAAGATCTAGTGGTTCTATTAATACACCCATAATTCTGTCTTTTTCCAAAAGTTATGTTGTTGGAATTACATAGCATGTTGCCTTTTGAGATGGACATACTTCTCTTTTTAAAGTATTTTAATTTCCACTATGACTTTTCATTGCTTAACAGAGCATTTATCTTTTTCCTAATGAAGTGATGTTCTATTATCTTGATTGCTGCAGTTTTTGTTTTCACAATAGTCACCTTTTGAAGAACATCTTGGTTGTTTCTAGGTTTGAGAAATTATGAATAAGATCTCTATAGATATCTACTAGCAGATCGTGGGTGAGCATAAATGCTTAACTCCTTTAGATAAATGTCAGTAAGTGTAGTTGTTGCCTTGCATGGAAATCATAGGCTTAATTTTGTAATAAACCCAAATTCTCCTTCAAGCTAGCTTACTACTTTGCCTTCCTGCAAGAAATACATGAGAGTTTTAACTGCACCAACCTCCCCGCAAGAGTCAGAGTGTTTTCTTATTGACAGTTGTTAAGACTCCTTTACAGATTTCAGGAGCTGTTTTTAAAATAGTATGTCTTTATACACATTCCCCCCTGCCAGTCTGTGAATGTCTCTTTGTTTTCTTAACAGTGTCTCATAGGCCAGAAATGCCTTCTCACTTAATTACACCCCCAGCCATTTGCAGCTTTCCATTTTATGTTTAGGTCATTAATTCTTTCCGAGTTGATTTCTGTAAAGTGTTTAATATCTGTGTCTAGGTGAGAAGGTAACTGCTCAGTTATTCTAGAAAGCTTTACTCCATTTCATTGCCTTTGCACCTTTGTTACAGATCACTGTCTACATGAATCTATATCTGGACTCTTTTGCCTGTTCCACGGATCTGTTTGTCTATTCTTTTATGAATTCTGAACTTTCCTGGTTGCTGTTACTTTTTATTAAGGTCGAAGTCAGTGTCAATTTCCTTTCTCAGTTTTATGCTATATATGGTATTTATAGCAGTAAAAAGTGGAGAGAATACTAATGCCCAAATGTAAGAGACGTATCAAACATAATTTGGAAGTATATCATGTTATTAAAAATAAATTGTTAGGCAAGCAAATATCAACGCATTTTATAATCTACTTTTGAAAAATGTATCACCTCTAGCTCCAGTGGGTCTAGGTACACTGATGGATCCTATTTAATTTATTTTTTAACTTATTCACTTTACATCTCGATTGGAGACCCATTCCTCATCTCATACTGGTCCCATCATCCCTCCTTTTCCGGCCTATACCCTTCCCCAGTCTTCAAAAGAAGGACACCCTGCTCACCTACCAACTGATCCCAGCCTGTCAATTCTCACCAGGACTGCCTGCATCCTCTTCCTCTGGCCTGGCTCACCTTACTAGGGAACCCACATGGAGACTGAGGTGCTTATCAGCTATATCTGAGTAGAGAATCTAGATCCTGTCCTTGCATGGTTCTTGGTTGGTGCCTCAGTCTCTGCAGGCCCCTCTTGGTCCAACTTTGTTGGCCCTAAAGAGGCTACATAAGAAGGAACACCCAAGGGAGGTTGCCTAATTTTCATTCAGAAGGGCAAATGGAATAGACATCACAAGCAGTTGAAGAGAGGGAACTGGATGGGAGCCTACCATAGATGTCCTCTGAAAGACTCCACCCAGCAGGGTACTGAAGCAGATGCTGAGACTCATAGCCAAACTTTGGGCAGAATGCAGGGAGTCCTATGGAACAATGGGGGCATAGTAGGATCTGGAAGGCACAGGAGTGCCACAAGAAGACCAACAGAGCCAACAAACCTGGTGTATATTTATGAAACAATATTTTGTGCATTTTTAGATCTCTGTATTTTCTCTCATACTCCATCCATATCAGAGACTCATTTGTTCATTAGTTCTCTAAATGATACATATCTTATCTCATTGACACAGGCAGTTGATCCTTTCTCTTAGCCTTTTTTTCCTACTGAACACACTGTGCCAGTCCATTTTTCATTTCAGTCCTCCATTGTGACTATTCTATCTTAGGACAGTCAACATATCATAAAGACAAGGCAAACATTTATCTTTTCTGAATATGTCATAGAAAGTGGACCCATAACACAGCTGGACAAGCAGGTTCTAGTATTGAAAGTGGTGATCATGCAGCTTTGCTTCTTAACAATTGTATTTGAGATCCAAGAAAAAGCCTGAAATTTATCTGAGTAGAATTAATTATAAAACTTGTGTGTGAAAAAAAAAATCTCATTTTCCCAACAAGAAGCCAAGTCTGAGGAAACAGCACTATTCTTCATACCTCCTTAACCTTACCTTTCTGGAGTTTAGACTGAAAGAAGGTACATTGCACCAAAGGAAAACAATGTGCAATGAAGAAGGGTGTTTTGGGTTTTGTTTTCTTTTTTTTATTCATCAGATTTTAACAGATGTATTGTAACATAGTTATTAACACATAAAGCTATGAGAAACTATTTTTTGAAGGATTAATAAAGATATATTTTTGTCATAGATTATTCTTCTGCTCAGCTGAATTCCTGCCTGGAAGCCTTATGAAATAGAAAAACCATGGCTGAGATACAATATTTCTA